TCTTTCCCTTCAGCATCTTGCTTAAGCAATTGCAAGGCACATCTTAAAGCCATGAAGAACAATGCTTGAATTTCAATTGGATAACCATAAACACCCTGAAAATCATAATACAATATTCAAAGTAAGAAATAGATAAATTAACCACCGGCAATAAAAGTAGTAATAACAGTAACTACTTCTGAAATTACTCTAGAACAATCATGAATCATTTTGTCCTAATCAGTGCCTAGTTGCAAGACAGATAAGGTGAAAATGAGGGTATCAAAAATTTTAGAAAACTCACCATTCTACGATCAATCATGCAGCATCCATCAGCACATAGTAAAGTCGGAAACGTGTCAAACCCTTCTGACAGGCATAAACTCAGGATCAAGCGCATACCCTTTTGACATTCGGGTAGTTCAGCCAAAGAAGAGTCTCCTGTAGACTTTGTGTATGCACGAAGTAGAATAATCCACCAAAATCCAGAATCAACAGGAGCAACCCTGCCTATTGCACTTTCACCAAAATCTGCTATAAGGGTTTCATGGTTTCTGACTGGATCATGGAATACTTTAAAACTAGCAGGCATCACCCCTTCTGCCAGCTGGAACCTGTCAATCTTTTTCTCCCATGATTGAAGGCGAAGGGTCTTTAAGATAAAATTTTTAACAATGTCTGGTTCCCCGTTCATTAGAAAAGCCAAAGCACTTGGGACAAAGTCTCTTACAAAAACCTAAGCATCGATACAATCATACCTTATATTAGATCTCCACAGAAAACACAAAATGATCAAAGCTATTAATCCAGCGTGATAAAGGAAGTCAAAACTAAAAAGATGAAGAGGAATGCAGAAAGGCTATTTTTTTCAGCTGTAATATAACATGTATATCTGGTTAATGGATTTGATATCACTTGAAACCATGACTACGGGTATGTGATGAAAACATGGCCTGAAACTAACCAAAATTCAAGTTTATTATTTGTACAGCAAATTTTAGAACTAAGAGCGAGAAAGACAGAAGAAATATGAGATGTAATAAATGATGTGATGAAAATAAATAAAGACAAAAAAATATCGGATGTATAAATTATTGTATGAATAGCACATCTCAATAACAGAAATATTGAGGATATGGCAAGGTCATGCTACCTGATCATAATTAAGTTTTTCATCAGAATTATCCAAAGCAGCAATTGTACCAACTGGCTGACCGCGGAAATATACCAAGGAACGCCTTAGAGCATCCCAAGCTTCCGATGCTATTGAATGTGAATCAAATGTAGCTGATCTGGGAGTGTTAAGACCTGACTTTGGCAGAGGAGAATTTAGATGATCAAGATGGTCCCCCAGGCGAGAACAGTTTTCAGCTTTTGCGGTCAATTGACGTGGAGAAATGCCTATGGATAGTTCACTCATTGTTCTTTCATCACACGATCTTTGTCTCTCTATATTCAAAGGCCTTGGCCTTTCTAATGCTTTTAAGAAATCAAATTTCCCCACTTCTGCCACACTCTCTGGTGCTTCTAGATTCTTCAAATCTCCATTGTGTGACCTCTCCACTTCTGCTACACTCTCTTTATTCGAAGCCTTTGGCCTATCTAGTGCCTCTGGATTCTTCAAGTTTCCCTTGTGTGACCGATCTTTCGGAATGGAAGACATCTTTCAAAAGATTAGCACTTGCAAAAGTCTTGCTAAAAATTCTGCAGTGTAAAGTTTATTGACATAAAATTAACATAATTGTAAACCATACCCACAAACTGCTAAACTCCTTATTTTCTATCACTTCATAAGCCAAAAGCATATATTTCCAAGTTCATGTGCCTCATTCTTTTAATCCGAAATGGAAAGAGATTGAGTTCAGAAATACAGGCTCCCTAAAACGATACCACGTGAAGATTATAAACACCAACCAAGAAGTGAATAATTTTGAAAATAACACCACACGATACAATTCAATTGGTTTCTCGTTACTAATCAGACGAGAGAGAGAAAAAAAGTGGTCTTAATTATCAGATTAGGGGAAAACAAGAATTATACAAACTAACACAGTAACACCAATTGATTAGAATTAGTCATCTAACAAATAGCACGCTGGCTTTAACTATATAGCCCCGACTTTCCAATTCCAGATCCTGATCAAAAAGTTATTTTCTCACTGTTGTTTTTCGATTAATTCTAAAAAAATGGTTACTTCTTAATTAACTATCTGATCAAAACTCTCCCAAATGCTAAAATGAACATCCCACACACGATTTTGACAATATAAAAAGGAGAACCACAATGAGCATTGAGCAGACAAGATGAGCCAACCAAAAAATAAAAATCATTTAAAAAAACATACATGTAAATCTACAAGCTTGTACAACATGATCACGTTGCCATCAAACCAGTGATGAGAAAGCTTTCAAGATTTACATTTAGGCATCATGTTCATCCAAAAACAATAGATTCATGGAAGCTCGAAAATGTGTAGGAACGTAAAGACGAAAACATGATGCATGGCAAAGATGAGTGAAATAAGATAATCATTTTAAGTTGCAAAGAATTAAAGAAGAGAAAAACTAACCCCCACAAGTTGGGAGTTTTTTTGTTTTTTGTTTTTTTTTTTTCTCTTTGGGTTTACAGTGTAAAGTTGTAGAGACAGAAGTTGAAGCACGTGAAGGAAAAAAGGTGCTTCCTTTCCCTGTGTATTGTGACTGTGATCGTGATTTGCGAAGAAAACGAAGAAAGGGTGGGTTTGTGCGTCTATGAATATGATGCATGACATTTGGGTTTGCACGGAGAAGCTGATATTGTGGTGCTACGTGTGATCTTCATATTGCTCATTCACTCTTCTCTCTCACTCACCCACATACGGACAAATTCAAATTTCAGATTTCCTTTTATTTTTCATTCTTATTCTTATTGTCACACCTTCCATATTTACAAGCTATTTTCAACTCTTTCTTGCAAATCTTTGTTTTAAGGACTTCGATTTTAAAAATAATAAATAATACATGTAATCCAATCGCAATCCAACGATAGATTTGTGGATTTTTGTAATAATATTACACAGATAAAAGTTATGTTAAAATATTGTTTCTAATTAAATAGTTTGGGTTGAATATGAGATCCTAATTTTAAATTATGGTGTCTCGTTAAAATAACGATAGATAAAAAAGGATAATTTTTAATTAAATAGTAACATAACGATTTATACTTATCAAACTTAATTTAAAAATTTTCATTCATTGTAGCTTCCGGTTCACGTTTGGTTCACTCTCTTTTAATATTTTTCTCAAGAGCACTTCATTTAGTACAATTCCATAAATTTTTATTACATAAGTATTTACGTCATAAATTTGATCGATAATTTTTATTTATATAATTAAAAAAACTTATTTTAATAAATCATATTAATTCTTTGTTAGATTAAGTTTAGAAAAATTATAAAAGTTGCAAATTATTCTTATAAATTCAAATAAATTATCATAAACTCTTTTAAACATTACTTAAGTTTCCCTGTCTGTAATTATTTTTAAAAAAAATTGTTTAAAGGAAAAGAGGTTTTTTCATGTGAAAAAAAGAAAAGTTGAAATTCTCAAGTATAAATGTTTTACCATTAATATCTTTTGTCTAAATTATAGTTTTGGTTCCTCTATTTTTTTAATTCATAATTTTGATCCCTCTATTTTAAAATAAAAATATTTAGTTTCTTTAATTTTAAAAATACAAAATCTTAAATCTTCTTTCAAATTGACATTTATTAATTGTTAAATTTTAACGTTTAACATTTAATAATATGATATTTGGAGAAAAAAAATAACTAAATCAATCACTCATTAAAATATATAAAAATAAATATTTTTTATCTTATTTTTTCATTTTTATATTTACATCTCATGTCATTTTATATCATGTCACTTAAGTAGTAAGTAGTAACAATGTAATACTATGAATTCAAGAGTGTTGTATATTTTTTTTTAGTTCAATGTTGTTGTGGTTATTAAGTTATTTAGTGTTAAAAAAACTCTCAAATTGAGAAATTCTTCATGAGTTTTGTGTTAGAAGAGAAGTGTCTCTAAACAAAAGTTAAGTTGAACCTGTAGGAGAAAGGTATGTAAGACTTTTCTTTATAAATGAGATTTATTAGTTCATTTCTTCAATGGAGTCAGAGAGAAAGAGTAGTGAAAAGAGCTCTAAGAATCTTGAAAACCTTCCTTTCTTCTTCTCAAATTCCTAAGTAGAGATTCAAACTTGAAGAGGGGAAAATTTGTTTCTAGGGTGTCGATGTAGAGATTACGTGAAGCTTCCCCTTTCTTTTTCCTCTTCTCCTTCTTGGTGTGCCTGGAGTCGAGGTAAGGGGACTAGATTTCTAGTTGATTAACTAGTTGAGTTGTAAGTTAGTGCATGAGTTGTTGGTTGCTTGAATTCCCTTGAGATTCATGGTTGTGTTTGATCAAATTGAATTGGGTTACAAAAGGGATTTGGGACTTTGGTGTTCATGATGAAAAGTTAAGAAATTGATAGTTTCCTTGAGGTGTTGTTGATGCATGTTTCTTTTCCTTTGATTTATGAGTTGCATGTTATTATAATTGGAAGATTTTGAGGTTGCATGCATTGTTATAAGTAGAGAGATTTTGGAAATTTGGTAGTGTTCATAACTGTTGGGATGTTCTTCATTGATGTAGAAATTTTTGGGTATTTGAGGCTAACCGTGAGTTTTAACACTTAATGTGAGAATTGGGAAGTGCCTCTAGAAGGTTGAGGCTAAGCGTGAGTTTTCACACCTAGCATGGTTAACACTATGCGTGAGTTTCACGCTTAGCGTGAGAATTGGGTGTGCTTCTAGAGGGATGATGCTAAGTGTGAGACTCCACGCTTAGCGTCTTGAAATTTTTCTTACATGACTATGTGGAAGCATGACACTTAGTGTGAGATTTCACAATTAGTGTTCAAACTTAATCAAATATTTTCCTTTCTAATTGAGTTGGTTGCCTACTTGATGAATGGGTTGTATGTTGAACACTTGTTATTTAAGTTGTTTTATGACTAAGTGAGGATGAATAAGTTGTATGGATGATGTCATATGTTGATGATTGTATTGTGAGTTGCTAGTTGAAAGTTGAGTTGAGTTGAGTCATAGGTTGAGTGGTTGTGTAACTGTGTTGAAATTGCTATATGCACGATGTTGTTGTGTTGTTGAGAATGTTTTAGGCATGGTATTATTGAGTTGTGATAACCAACCTAGGACTAGAGGAGAGCTTTTTTAAGTTGTATATCTCATTATGTGGATATTATGTTGAATCTCTTCTAAAACTTAGTTGCTATTGTGTGTGGACAAGGTCGAGACATACATGTATAAAGCAACCAAATTGAGTAAAGTGTGAAGTTGAAAACTTAGTTCCTAGCCAAGTATTGAAAAGATGTAGTATTTGGAGGGTAGTTTGTGGGTTAATCCCATGAAGGTTTGGTGAAGCTAACTAATGTCGTGATAGACCTATACACAACTAGTTTACCCTAACAGTAATATTAGACTTCCTTATTTAAGTAGGGGCATTCACAAAACCAAGTTGTTGTGTTGTGAATTGATATCCAATTTATTATTGATCTAGTAAGTCCAAAAAGATCGTTATATGTTGTTGATTTGGTAGGATCAAGCCACTCAAAGTGTTTACCTTATGTTGTAGGAGATCTCCTAGTAGAAATGTGCGACAACTCATATAATTGTTGTGTTATTCTTATGATGTGTTGTTTATATGAAATATTGATTTAAAATGAATCATGATGAGATGTTCAATTATGTTGATAATGTTAGTTGCATTGCGATGCTATGCATTAATAGTGTTGAAGATGCAATGAAGATGTGTTGATATGCTTAATGTTGTTGATGTTTTGTGTTGTATTCATGTTTTTTTTATATAAAAAATATATATAACTTACCCTTGCTTATTTTCATGTGATTTGGATTGTGATGATCATACGTGGTATGAGACCAGGACAAGCATAGATTAGTCTTGGGAGTTATGCAATGGAGACCACAATGAGGTGTTGGAGCTGGTTGTTCCTTTTGAAGCTATGATTAAGTAGAAATTGTATAATAATGTATAGAAGTTACTTAATCGATAACTTCAACTATATAGTTTACTTTTGGCTAGATTATTGTATCCATACTTTATATATATGTGAAGTTGATGTAGTGTTATATACCTTATATATAATATATATTTAGGAATTAATATTCTTAAAATTTTAAGTCATTAGATGAATTTTCACTACTAGTAGTTGTGCCACCTAGTGTAGGATCATTGGTGGATTGTTACAGACAAATCATTAAACAAGGTCAAAATTTAATAATTAATAAACATTAAATTGATGATAGGATAAAATTTGATATTTTAAAAAATAGGAAAATTAAATGTCTATCTCTATTTTAAAATAGAGGGATCAAAATTGCATATTGATAAAATTAGAGTAACCAATAGTGTAATTTAGCCAATTTTTTAACCTATTATAAAATTAAAAATATATTATATTAATACTGTAAAACTTATTAAGAGCTAAGATTTCATTCCGTGATAAAGTAAAAAAAAAAATCATTTAGTGTTTAAAGTGTATTTTTTTAATTTATTTTATCATTATTTATTTTTTAATCATTAATCTAAATATCCCTATCTAATTCCAGATTATATTTTTAAAGAGTGTTTAAAACACTTCACAATCAAATTTTCAGAAAAGTGATTTGTAAAGGTGTTTCTGGAATATAACTTCTGAAAAGGAATTTATTATATATTCTAGAATTAAAACTACATAAGAGTGTGTTTTAAATGTATTACAAAAATATTAAAGGTTATTAGTTCGAATAGTTCAATTTTTGTGTTCTTTATCTAAAAATTATGGTTTTATTTTCGAATTAAGTATAGAGTGATGATCATAAACATCCCTTTACTCTTATAGGAGCTGTTTTAGTGAAAGAATGTTTTGAACACAATCCAAAATTCTTGGAAGAGTATTTTAAATATGTTCTAAAAAAATTAATTTTGAAATGTTTTGTTAATTACTTTAAGAAATTTAATTTCGAAGGTTATAAAAAGTATTTTTAGAGATTCAAACGTTTTATTATAGTTAATTATATTTTTAGAATGAAAGATAAAAAAAAATTAAAGAGTGGTGCAACTAAGAACAATAATAGAAAAAAGCAATTCCCGTTTAGAATTAGACCTCTTTTATAATATACACGTCCTTTCCGATTTGAGAAATTTTCTTGTTGTGCGGCCCAGTTCACTTATCTTAAATGGGTCCATATACGATATACGAGTTTTCATTGACCCCAAAAAAAAAACAATTTCTTTGTTCCTCTTTTAGAGAGGAAGCTTTTTTGTGTGACCAATTTACATCAATTTTTTCACACTTTTCCTTAATTATTTTTTATCAAACAATACTCATTTTTTAAATTTCACACACTTCTCCTCTACTTCCTCTTTCTCAAACATACCCTTAGTACCCTTTGCAATTCATATGTTGGTAAATTGAACCCTAATACATAATTTTGTGAAAAATGTCATTTTGTTCATTGTTCATTTGCAATAAAATCATATTCGAATGCAATAATGTACATCTTTAAGGTCGTATTTCTTTTTTATCAAACCAAAAAAAGGAAGAGGGTAAGAGAGACCTCAATTAGTCACAATATAAAAATAGTTATAAAAAATATTAATAAAGAGGATATCTTATTTTGGTGTTCATATTTTTTTTACTCTTTTATCCTTTATCTACTTTGTTTAACTACAATTTTATTTTTTAATTAAATTGCTTAACTACTTC